CTCATAATAGGTCTGCTGATTAAATACACACTCTGCACTACAAAATCCAGCTCTGCACTACAAAACTGATGTGCATTTTAATGTCTAACTCACTGTTGGAGGAGGCAATCTTATTTGTCTTTGGATGTGGAGGTAGGGAGGCATGTTTTACACAGGTGCCACAGCTTGACAGTGTTGTTACTCAGCTTAGACAGTTTGCATGCAGAGTCACAAAAATAAAACTACAAAGCCAGGGGCCAAACATAATGTTTGATCAGTTTGAATGACTAATAAGTCTCTGGTTTCTCTAAGCAGTGTTGCCTGCCTTCATGATGATACAAAGATGCACTCAAGAGCAATTAGCAGAACTAACTGGGAATGAACTCTTAGCTGTGTGCTGTGACATGCGGTTCAGTAACTCAGATGAATTCTCCTCTCGATCACCCTGCCCAGCTCTGCTGACTTCAGCATGAGGTAAGCTTTGGACAGGACCAGGGATGGACAGTGCAGCCTGGGAAAGCAGTGATGAGAGCAGACAGGAGCCAGCTGGGGAAAGCATCAGTTGCAGAAAATAAACTATTTTGCTCTTTGAAGTTGGCTGGTACCTTGCCTCAGTGTTTTGCCACATACTGTGAATGAATTTCAGAACTACCTCATCGAGGTGGGCATAGCAGCAAGATACACCTGAAACTGCCTGAAGAGTCAGGAAGAAGGGGATAAAAGGCCAGGAAGGCTTACACTTTGAAAGATCCCAATCATTCCAGATGACAGGGATTTTTGCTGTCTGGCCTTGCAAGCTTCAGATACTTGTACTATGCAGAAAAAAGCATTTCCATTATAAACTGATACAGAGTGCTGAAAATATCAAAGCCTCTGCCATTTTGAGCTATATGGAAACTTTTCATCACAACACATTTATGGGAGCAGGAAAAGAGGGAGGATGAGGGAAAGGGGCATATCCTAGATCTGCTTGAATTGTTTGTTTGTTTGTTTTTAAGCAGCTGTACAGTGAAATTAATTATTTTTTCCATAAATTTCTGGACTCACTTAGGTTCTTTGGAGATATAATATTTTATAACACCAATGAAAAAGAAAAGTGATGTTCTATATTTCTAATAAAATATGACACCAAAATATTAGCACTGAAAGACAAATTCAGCCTACTGCTGATTTTTTCCATGGTCCTAATGATGTTGTTGAAATTAGAAGTTTTCCACCAAGATAACCTCTCAATCTCCTGTACAGCAGTATTATAGAAAAAACAAATGTTTTTCATGTACATCTTCTTCCTTGTTACCAGTCAGCAGCAATAATGGTGGAAATATAAAGACAACCAGCTATAGTTTATGCTACTCCCACACACATACACGTTTTGAGCAAAAGCTGCAAGAATGGCTCAGTAATAAAGAACACTGTATTCTGAACCTGCACTCCAAAGAGAGCTGCAGGCATAACAGGATGCAACAATGAAGAGGCAGCATTTTGCTATTTAGAAATGTAGGAAGAAACATAAAAAGCCCCTCCAAGATTACTCACAAACTTTGTCTTGTTCAACAATAGGTCTAATTTGGCTTGTTCAGAGCATGTTAATGGAATGGCTCTTAGGGAGGAATACAAATTCCCCCTCTGGTGAGGGAGAGTATTCCAAGTGTAGCACTTGTTTACTGATCCATATCCTGTCTTTACTGGTTATGAATATAATTACCTGTTTGATGTAAGAATTTTCTACACTTAATTGAAAGCTACACTAATTACCATTTACTTGAACCACACAGTCAATAGCACAGTCAGGACCTAAGTGTAGCTTGTTGCTTCTTTGTTACGAGATCATTAAAGGAAAGGGAAATTTATGATGGCCCAGGCCTCCCCTTAGAGTAAGTTGTTTGTTGAAAATAACACAGATATGAGGATTTCACTTTCTTGTTTCTATTAATTGAAAATATTATTGAAACAATACTGCAACTAGGTCTGCATAGATTATTTTTGGAGTGGATCTAGAACTGATAGTTTTCTTATATGAAAATAGCATTGCCATTTGACATTTTAACAATAGAAAGGACAATAATTTTCGATATATCTCTCAGCAATTGTGGAAGAGTTTATAACCAACTGCTCTATATAATCTCTGCCTCAAACACAAGATTGTCCCTTCCACAAATTGTTAGCACTTTATTAAGGAAAATTTTAGCTCTTTGTCATTTTCTATGACTAAATTAATCTTTTTTCCATGTGGGTAAGGATACTCTCATGGACTTTATTGACTTTCCTGTGCTGGTATTTTGCTGATTCTGCTCATGCTACATTAGTAGCAACACTGAGTCAGCCTCCCTTTTGCAAAATTGTGTCATTAAACCTCTTCCTTCAGCAGGGGGTCTTTATTGAAAAAATGACACCTCTTTTCCAAAACTAAGGAGGAAACAATGCTAAGTCAGATTTTGTTCTGTGTGATATTACACTCCCAAGCATTCAAAGTACTGTACTATTAAAACAAATTGCATTCCACAGCCATCGAACAAAGTCCCATTTTCCTTAAGTATGACCTTAACTTGAGCTAGAGAGTGTTACAGGATGATTAAACTCCAGCTGAGAGCTTTCCCAGCAGCCCTAGAGGTCCTGCTTGTGACATTAGAGCTGCCACGAAGCAGCTACACTGAGCAGAGCATTGATAGCAACCTGGGCACAATGTCTGGGAATGCCTGGGCAAGTCCATGCCCCAGCTCCAACAAGAATAATTTAAATATCTGATTTAACCATAACATGAAGGGGTTTCATTCTGACTTATTTGCACTATCAATTTAGACCTTACTTTTATTGCTTGTGTTATAAATTGTTTCTCTAATTAAAAGTAGTTTATTATTGATTGGTATCTCTGAGGATGCATTGACTTGCTGCTTTATAGAGATTTAACCTTAAATTTGGTCATTGTTTTTGATACCCAGAAGTGTGAAATTCTATGTTATGCCATCTGTTCTAAATTGTTAATTTAGAAGGTAGTACATGTAGTCAGATTCGTATTTGTTATTAGTAGATCTGGTTTGTTTTGGTATTTTTAAAACATTATCTTGTTCCAGAACCATTCGGATTTTATCAGCACTGTAGAAAAGAAAAAAATAGAGCCTGTAGGAGATCTGGATTTTGAGAATTTTTTTTCCAGCTAGTAAAAGAAAGAAGTAAGTATTGTAAGAAAAATCAAAATGTGTTTTGTGTTTACATTTTTCTCATTCAAAAAAAGAAGTTATGCAGATGCTGGTTTGAGCTGATTAGTCACTGTGGTTTTTAAGATCTTAAAGGTAGCTGATGTGAGTTCTTATGTTAGTGTTCACTCACAGACAAGAAGAAGACACAAATTTACTGCATTTTATCTTTAAATTCTTCTCTAAAGAAATTTAACTAACTGTAATTAAAAAATTCCAATCAAATCTACTTTTATAGCAGATGTGTGAAATATGCTTCATCATTCTCAGATGAACCTATTTAAGAGCCTAGATTGCTGTTTAATTTTAAAAAGTGTGGAAGATTAAAATAAATTTAGATATTAATATGACCTGTGTATACTCTACTTTGCTTCTTTAGAAATGTCTAGTGTAAAATTTTTGGAGACACCTCTAGTTTTTAACACAGTTGTTTTTGGCTTCAGACAAAAACTTCAGCAATGTCGGCCAATGTGAAGATGAATATCTTGGTCCTGCAGGAATTCACCTGTCCATTCATTGCCTTTCCACTCTTTATCTTACTGACAATTTCATTTGCTGCTGTTGAAAACACATGGCTGCACATGACCACAGACCACAGTGAGAACGACAACATGAGCATGAGCCACCAGTGTGCCCAGGTAGCCAAGAAGGCCAAGGGCATCCTGGCCTGGATCAGGAATAGTGTGGCCAGCAGGAGCAGGGAGGTCATCCTTCCCCTGTACTCAGCACGGTGAGGCTGCACCTTGAGTGCTGTGTCCAGTTCTGGGCCCCTCAGTTTAGGAGGGACGTTGAGACTCTTGAGCATGTCCAAAGGAGAGCAACGAGGCTGGTGAGGGGCTTGGAACACAAGCCATATGAGGAATGACTGAGGGAGCTGGGGTTGTTTAGCCGGGAGAAAAGGAGACTCAGAGGTGACCTTATCACTCTCTTCAACTTCTGAAGGGTGGCTGTGGTGAGCTGGGGGTTGGTCTCTTTCTCCGGGCAACAAAAGACAGAACACGAGGACACAGTCTCAAGCTGCACCAAGAGAGATACAGGCTAGACTTAAGGAGGAAGTTTTTCACAGAAAGAGTGGTCAAATACTGGAATCATCTGCCCAGGGAGGTGGTGGAGTCACCATCCCTGGATGTGTTTAAAAAAAGACTGGATGTGGCACTTGGTGCCTTGACCTAGTTGAGGTGTTAGAACATGGGCTGGACTCGATTATCTTAAAGGTCCCTTCCAACCTAGAAATTCTGTGATTCTGTGACAAAGAAAAAGGAGTGTTCCCCGTCATGGCTTTTCCAGCAAAACAGAGTTTCCATGTGCCACCCCACTACACCAGGCTACTGGGAAAAACACTTGACAAAGCTTCTCAGACCTCCTCATGCTGACAAGCTGCTCACAGAAAGCTGCCCAGCAGATGAAAGGAGGTGAAAGCAGATGAAAGGTAGCAGTATTTGCAGGGGAGCCTGAGAAGAAGAGAATAGAACGTGCAAGGAAGAATGTGTGGGAGACTGATTGACAGTGAGGAAGGACAGAGTTTGACACCATCTTCCTTGAACTGCCAGGTTTATTTAACCAAATTTTGGAGAGATTCACTTTTTTTGAAAATCGTCATAATCCTAACCATTGCACTGGACTTGTAGCTGCTTCTAAAGTGGCCCTGTGGAAGCCAAGAGAATACAGTTTACACCAGTGGGCTCTGCTGTGCAAAACTACTCCCAGCATGACAGCATCCTTGCATCTGAAGATAGGATGCACTCCACTGAGTGTGGGGTCCATCAAGAATTATGGACAGTGCAGATCCCTGTGCCTCCCACAAGGACACTGTGAGAGGAGACTTACCCCTGCACCCTCCTTGGCTTCAGAACTTTCACAGGAGCATGGTCCCGATGGGTCCCTCAGCAGCATAGCCAATCCTCCTGCACCTACAAAACCAAAGACATTTATTGTCCATGGGAGAATACGCATGGCTGAGAGGTTGCTTTGCTTTGCTTTGTTTTGGATCCATTTCTACCCACCACACTCTGTCACCAACCTAGTGTTTTGTCATTCTTGTTGAAGAACATAGAAAGGCTACAAAAACTGTGACTGACAAATATTTTTGCCAGCTGAACACAGCTGTGTGCTGCATAGAGGCAGCTGGCTCTTTGGGGAAAATGCAATGGGTGCTTAATGTTGACACAGTGTGCCGTGGCTCAGGAAGAACATACTCCATTCCAGACCACTCAGTGGCCTCCCTGTCCCTAGGGTGGTTCCCAGTGGCAGAGCTGCCCTGGTTCCTGATGGGGTGGTGGGATGGCTCTTGTCACCTCCAGGCAGCTGCCTAGACACTGGTTGCTCTGTGCTCACCCTTGTTGCTGTGCTGAAGGTGTGTCTGTGCTCACACTCTGTATGAGATGGTCCTGTCTCTAGGAGAAGCCAGAGGACTTTTCATCACTTCTGTGCATCCAAAGGGCAGGGAAAATAAGAGCACCTGGACCCCTAACTAAGATTATGTCATATTAGAGAATGCTGTTCTGTCATGCATGCAGTAGTTATCACTGCTTATTGGGTCATGTCAGGTCACAAGCACAGCTTGCAGGGCATGGTGTGGGCAGCCTGTCTGGGAGAACCTCTGCACTTTTATTTCTGTATCAAACTTAGGCCTATAAAGAAGGTAAGAACATATCCACTGATCTCACTTTCGGGGACAATCTTGTTTAAGCACAGCTAGCCACAGACAGCTGCTTGATTGCTTTCAGAATTTCCATAGCAATGGCAATAATTAAATAATGTTGGGTTAGAGTCAGATTAAATCAGTGAATATTTTCTAGGTTGTGAAATTAAATTATAGGGGTTACATGATCTCCTCTGTAAAGAAGCAAGGTGTGTAAGGATTTGTGTATTATTTCCAGTAGCTCTACTGAAGGTACACATTCACACAGGGAGTACATTGAATAAAGCTCCTTATGCTACCACAGCACAGTGCATGCCTACTAAATTTTAAATGAGTCTCTCATGTAATAATACATCTTGAAATGGCTTTGCAGACCTTGGTCAATACAAGGATAGTTATTCATGTCCTCTGCTGCTACTTGAGTCTATAATCTTGAGTGTATCTCTTGAACTCACTACTGTTTGTGTATGCATCACCATTGTGTTATGATTACTTATGCAAAAAGGATCTGTGTTTCAGAGATGCCCTTGGCATATTTTTTGCTCCAGTGGACAGTGGCACATGCTAATAGTGTTACCTTGAGCTGTAGTTGAGAGAGACTTTCTCTACAGACCTGCATCTTTTCTTCTAACAATATTGGCTGGTTGCAGCTTCAGTTAGACTTCTTTTGCTCTGGGAGAATATTAAAAAGTGCCAGTGGGACTCATGTGCCCATAAAAATTCTGAAAATGCTTTTAACTTTTTCCAGCACAGGTTCTCTGGAGCTGGTTCTTCCTACCTGCTGAGCTATGTTGTCCATGTAGCCCACAGAGCCAATAGATAGCCCTCAGGAAAGCTTGAGAACTGCATTAAAACCAACTTGAGAAGTAATGGAATTGAGACATTTTTTCTTGTGTTCTCCACACTCTGAAACAGTCCACAAAGTCAGAACCCTAATCCTGTGACTTTACCACAGGATTGATCCCTTCTTTGCATTCATCTGTATGCTCTATGGGGTTCCCATAGAGTATTGCTGTTTTGGAAGTGAGGCTGCAGAAAAAGCAACTAGTTTATTCTGCTCTGAGTTTTTTGTCTCTGATTTTTTTTTCTTTCCAGCTCTCTTTGATAGCTTTATTCATGTTAATCTCAGACCAAAAGGATTGTCCTTTTTATATATCTATATATGACATTTCAGCATAATGGGTCTTTGATTGTCTACTGATATTTATATGCTCTCCAGAAAACCAGATGTGAAAGATCTGTGTACCTTTTTTTATCGTTTCACTAAAACTTCCCTTCATACTCATGCTACTTTGCATCTTTTTCTGCAATGTATTTGGAATTGTGAAGATTTTGCTCGTTATCCTTGAATGGATGCCTCCACATTACCTTGTAGCTGTCAGACTGCGTCAGAGAATAGGAGCAGTTGGTGCTGAAATATCTAAGTCTATATTATAAATACTTCCAGGATGTATGGAAATGTCAGGCTAGATTTAGTCCGATTCCTTGGAGTGAATGTTACCATACTATCATAAAGAACACTACTTGATTTGAATATTTATGTTTACGCTATGGCTTGAAAAGTGTTTCCTGTGACCCTGCAGCAGAGTTTCTGGTTTGGTTTCCTCTAAAAGCACTCTCGCATACGACTCAACAGTACATCTGTAGTGTGAATCACTCCACATCTGAATCAACTGCAAATGTGGTAGAGGAGGGAGGAATGAGTTCACTAAAAACCATACTACTGCTCTCTGATGAAACGCTGATGTATGTGCAGCCTAAGCCCAGCAAGAAAGTGTAGCCTGCTGACTAGGATGCTCAGTGGAAATGTGAGTTACCTAATTTCACACTTGTGCTACAACTAGCATTCTGCATACTCCTTGGAAGGCACTGGTATTGTCTTAAGTTCTGCACCTGTAAGATATATTCCCCACTGATGTGGCAACACTTGAAACACTAAGGAGAGATACTACAGTGGTAAAAAATGTACCTTGCTAGAGAAAAGTCATGAAAGTCTGAGGCCTAGAAATTAACATGCATAAGAACTTATATATTTCCTGCACACCTCACAAAATAAATAAGTATCATGAGTAGACTTCATCCCCCACTGTTTTTGGTGACAGGTCATATCTGCTGTAGCATTGAGCTTGGATTTGATTTACATGAAAGATGTGGCAATGTCATAATCACCCTTGGATTAAAAAAAATAAATATCCAAGCATGTTCACATTCATGGACATGTTATAAAGGCCTAGATAGTACCAGTTCCTGCTGCTATTAACACAGTTAAGTTTTTACGTTTATAATAATCTGTACAGCAGTGATGGAGTAAATTGAGCAGAACAGCTGCAGGGCAGCTTCATCAGCACTCTCGGGGCTCAGTGGCTTTTCATCCATCTCTGTGCATGCTAGCTCCACGTCTGTGCAGCACTGTGCTGACTTCTTTGTTTCCTTTTATTTGCTGTTCATTTCAACTGTGAATAGGGTTTGATAGATGACAGGAGGTTTGCAATAAAGAGGACCAAATAATAATACAGGAATGAAGCTGAGCTAAAAGCTTTTCCTTAAGAGACATAGCCACACAGATTTGGGAGAGAAATCAAGGTGCAGATAATTAGAATGAATTTGGGCTCTCACCAGCATCAGCTAGTAGAGAAAGGAACAGATATTGTCAAGACAGGAAGACTGAAATTTGAGTAAAAGTCCAGTAGCTCCTGGTGATTTATTTGGCAGTGAATGTGCAGAATATGGGTGAAAAAGTAAGGTACTGGTGAGGAATCTGGAAAACTGTTTTGTGCACCCACGCAATAAACAAACAAGGGAAGATTTTATCTGCCTGTTCCTGAATCACAGTTCTTCATGGTTAGCACTGTGACCACAGGGAAGCACCTCTGATTGGGCTAGCTTTGGCCTGGGGGCACCACATCATCTCAAGGGTCCTTGTTCCAGCAGTCTCAGTCTCCCAAACACTTTGCGTTTCTATTCTATTTCCACAGAAGCTAGACAGAGAAGGGAAACTTTAAGGTGCAATTCAGCTACTAAAGTATGTAAACTCTCTGCAGTGACCCAAAACTCCTTTAGAAAACCCATGAACTACAGACTTAGGACCTTAGTTTTGATATTTGTTTTAGTGACAGAGAGCTCTGTGTTTTCAGCATACAGACTCCATTGCTGTGCTGTTAAGCTGTCAGGAAACAACTCCAAACTTATGCCATACACCCATTAACATTGGTGTAGTCTCCATCCATCCAAAATCTGGAAGCCTACATCCTCTTGTCAGAGAAATTGGTTCAGTAAAGAAGCAGGTTGTAGCATAAGAGAAGCTGAATCAGAGAGCAATTTAGTGCAAATATGTGTCTCCTCAGAGGAAAAGGCAGATAAAGCACTTAAGAGTATTCACCAGGAAAACTACATTAAGCTTTCTTCATTTCTCCCAAGACAGTAATTTTTGTCTGACCAAATCAGCCGTCTGCTGGAATGCAGATGGATCAGTTTATTCTCTTTCACTGAGACAGTTTGCTTGTGGACGACACTTCTAGTCCTTTTCAAAGCCAAGGAACACTGTGTACATGTGTCCCAAAAGCACAAAGTACTACTCCTAGATTGCTTCTTTCTCCCTTCTGCAGGGTGTTTGTATCCCTGATCTACTGGCCAGTCTGCGGCTCACAAGAGTGCCTCCTGCCCTGTTCAGACTGGAACAGGTCAGCTCAAACCACATAAATCCTGGAACATCATTTAACTTGGTCTTGAACAGGCCAAGGAGGCAATTTATTACAGCAACTATTTTCACTTGACTTGGATCACAGGAATTCCTGCTGTTCCTCAGTCTGCTTTCTTTCAGCTACCCAGGACTTGTCATTAAAAATGAACGATCGACTATGTCTTCATGTTAATGTCTTGGCAGTGCCCAGCTCAGCCGGCGGGCAGATGCCATGTTACACTACACAGCAGAGATTGTCACCAGTGATTCCTGTGATTAATAGAAGGTCTTCAGAAAAATAAAATCCTCAAAGAAAGAGAGGGAGAAAAAAAAGGACACAGTCTAGGAAAAATCTTCTAGCAAGACTGCTGACATGTTTATTTATTAAACCACTAAAAGGCTTGGTGATTTCCTGGTGTTCAGATTGGGAGAGGTCACATAACAGAAGAAAAAGGCATAACTTCAGTGGTGAAGAAAACCACTGATTTATCTTTTTTTTGCACTTTAATGCTATGTCGAGGCATTGCATGCTTGCTGTGTTTTGAAACAACAGTAGGGAAAATTTCTTACCCTTTTAATCATGTTTTGAG